GCGCCCGTCGTTCCCGCCGCCGCCAGCGCCCCCTGGCCCCCAACTGAGCGACGGCGCCAGCCGGAGAGGAAGTGCTGGAGGAGGCAGAGGCGGCGCCGGCGCGAGTGGAGGCAGAAGAGGAGGAAGAGGCGCGAGTGGAAGCAGAGGCGGAGGAGGCGGAGGAGGAGGAGGAGGAGGAGGAGGAGGAAAGGAGGAGGAGGAGGAGGAGGAGAGGAGGAGGAGGAGGAGGAGGAGGAGGAGGAGGAGGAGGGAGGAGGAGGAGGAGGAGGAGGGGGAGGGGGAGGAGGAGGAGGGGAGGAGGAGGAGAGGAGGAGGAGGAGGAGGAGGAGGAGGAGGAGGGAAAGGAGGAGGAGGAGGAGGAGGAGGAGGAGGAGGAGGAGGAGGAGGAGGAGGAGGAGGAGGGAGGAGGAGGAGGATGAGGAGGGAGGGAGGGAGGGAGGGAGGGACGGAAGGAAGGAAGGCATGCAGGCAGGCAGACAGGCAGGCAGGCAGGCAGGCAGGCAGGGTGGCCGGCAGGACGGACGGAAGGAAGGACGGACGGACGGACGGACGGATGAGGAGGAGGGGGAGGAGGAGGAGGGAGGAGGAGGAGGAGGAGGGAGGAGGAGGAGGAGGAGGGAGAGGAGGAGGAGGAGGGAGGAGGAGGAGGAGGGAGGGAGGAGGAGGAGGGAGGAGGAGGAGGAGGAGGAGGAGGAGGAGGAGGAGGAGGAGGAGGAGGAGGAGGAGGAGGAGGAGGAGGAGGGGGAGGCCCGAGCAGCGGCAGCGACGACGACGAAGATAGCGGCGACAGCCATAATGATTCCGACAGCGCCAGCTTTTCGCCTACAGCGTCTCGTGACCCCCTAGAGAGCTCCACTGAAGTCCCCAGTGGGACCGCCCGCATGCGCCCCACACACCTAATTTGATATTTTGTCACCCACCCAGTACAATGTCTCGTGGCCCCATGCGGAGCTCCACCGAAGTCCCCAGTGGGACCGCACGCATGCGTCCCACGCGCCCCATTTGGCGTTTTCACCCATAGGGAACTCCACCCGCGGCCCCAGTGCTACCGCCCGCATGCGTCCCCCCCCACCCAGTGCAGCGCTTCGTGGCCCCCTCGGGAGCTTCACCGAAGAAGGTCTTCACAATTGCGGTACCCACAACTACATATGCTTGGGTCTTTCGCCATGATTTTTTTAGCTGATGCCAACGTCCGACTGGCGGACAGGCGGGCCGCTCTGCATTCAAAGGGGGCGCCCGCAGTGGATAAAAAGACTCGTGTATGGACTTATGAGGAGGGGGTTTGGGACGGGAGGGTGCATGGCAGCATCGGTTGATGCAGATTTCTTTATTCTCCTCCTCTGCCTCCTCCTCCTCCTCCTCCTCTTTCTCCTCTGCCTCCTCCTCTTTTGCCTCCTCCTCCTTCTCCGCCTCCTCCTCCTCCTCCTCCTGCTCCTCGTCCTCCTCCTCCTCCTCCTCCTCTCCTCCTCCTCCTCCTCCTCCTCCTCCTCCCCCTCTTCCTCCTCCTCCCCCTCCTCCTCCTCCTCCTCCTCTTCATCCTCGTCGTCGTCCTCCTCCTCCTCCTCTTCCTCCTCCTCCTCCTCTGCCTCCTCCTCCTCTGCCTCTTCGTCCTCCGCCTCCTCCTCCTCCTCGTCCTCCTCCTCCTCTTCCTCCTCCTCCTCCTCCTTTCTTCCTTTTTCTCCTCCTCCTCCTCTTTTTTTTCTCATCCTCTTTCTCCTCTTTCTCTTCTTGTTTTTCGATTTTGTTTCCTTGCTGATAATTCCTCCCCGTCGCACTCCGAGGCCGGTCGAAAGGGCGGACCAGGCGTTTTGCTGAGACGTCCTCACCATTTATGACCCTGATGTCAAACATCATGTCAACAGCTTCACACATGAAGGGCGGGTTGTTTTCAACATGTGCCTCTCGCCTTAGCGCCGCGCGCATTCATGTCAAATATGTGCAACGAGTTTCACGGATAAAGGGCGGATGGTTTTCGAACTGTGGCTTTCGCTCGCCTTCGCGCCGCGCGCATCTGTTAAACACATGTAGAATAGTTACGCGGATTCAGGGCGGTTCGTTTTCAGAATTGGCCTCTTGCCTTAGCGCCGTCCATTTACGTTTCAAGAATTGGCAAAGAAATCCCGGATCGACGGCGGTTCGTTTTTCAGAATGTGGCTGTCGCCTTGGCGCCGATCACATCCTTATCCATCATTTGGGAAGAGTTTCGCGGATTTTGTGCGGATCGTTTTTAAAATGTGGCTCTCGCCTTAGCGCCGCGCGCATTCATGCTAAACATGGGCAACAGTTTCACGGATTGAGGGCGGCTAGTTTTCAAAAGGTGGCTCTCGCTTTAGCGCCGCGCACAATCTTTCCACGAATTTGTAAGAGTTTCGCGGATGGATGGCCTTTCATTATCAAACTGTGTTTTTCCTCAGCGCCGGGCGTATTCGTGTTGAGGATTTGCACAAGTTGCACTGGTTCTCATCGTGAATGTACCAGGAGCGGTGCCTTGGAACGGTACAAGGTTGTCAGGGCGCAACACACTTACGTTTATTCACTGTGTTGAAGTCCCAGGAATGGTGCAATGCACGATGCAGGATGCAGGATCGTCAATACGTAAGGGTCAGGATGACTCGTGGCGTCGAAGTTCCGAAAATGGTGTTTTGGCACGGTCAAGATGTTCACACGGTTGTCCCCTCAACGGGGCAATTCCCTCAGTGGAAATGACCTTGCCTACGAAGAGAAATCTTGCAGGGAGGGTGTATTTCAACATCGTTGATGAATCTTGGGTTTGCACTCGTCCTCCTCCTCCTCCTTCTCCCCCTCCTCCTCCTCCTCCTCCTCCTTCTCCTCCTTCTCCCCCCCCTTTGTTCTCCGGGGGAAAAGACGAAGGTGGTTGGATCCGCGCGAGGAAAGAGCATCCACCTTGTTCTTCTCGTGCTGCTTCCGTTGCCGCTGCCGCCGCTGATGGCGCTGCTTGTGCGGCGGCAGGGCTGGCTGCCGCCTGCGCTGGCACTGACGGCGGCGGCGCCGCGGCAGTCGTCGGGCTGCACACCGTCTTCGGCAGGAAATGCACGCGATGCTGCCACATCCTTGCCCGGCCACGCGTGGCGCACTGAATGCGTGCTTCGTCCATGGCCCCCTTGGTCTGGATCCATATCAAGGGACGGCCACCTGGATTGCATTTCTCGAACAGCTTCCTCCCTAGCCTGGCGACCCTGATCGTGGACTGCCAGTGGCAAGTCAGCCTCGGTGCCTGGTGCACTGGTTCTGTGCAGTCGGACATGCTGGAGTCGTCGCGCGTACTTCCCGCAATTTCTGCACCACACGCCCTCGGCCTCTTACCGCGGGCCGAGATTCTGGCACGTCTCGAGTGTCAACCTGCGTGGCGCGCCCTGGAGACCATCTGCAAGCTGGTCGCTGGCATGGTACCTCTGTTCGCGCCGGGTCCAGATGTCGATGAGCATGCCCTGCAATGCGCTAGCCTGCGCGACAGTGGGAGCGCCTGCAGGATGACTGCTGCGTGCCTCGCGCACATGAGCGCCTACATGATGCCCTTTCAGGAACACGCGCAGTGCTGCGCGCCGCAAAACAGTACATCCTCCACAGCCACAAAGCGTTCATGTGTTCCCCCTCCGCGCCACATCGCCCCTTCGAGTGACTGCCATCTCTGTGGTGCTTGGTCTTGGGCTCGGTGGTCATGAGGCCTCCAGCCCGCACGGATCTCAGTACACCGAGTTTCGTCTTCGCTTCAAGGGTGCCGTCGGCTCTGGCGGTCGCGCTCTCTCCCGCGTTCCAGTCCACATCCTCCTCGTTGGCCCTCTGTTGCAGTCTGTTGTGCAGAGGCGTGGTACGCCTTCTGTCGATGTGGCTGGCCCCTGCGTAGTGTTGCGCTCGGTCGTGCGTGAGCCTTTGCGAAATTTCAGTGCGCCAGGTCTCACGCAGGTTGTGCTCTCACTCCTTCTTGTCTCCCGCCCCGGCAACCAGCTCCTGGACGGCGTCGCTGTGGACCGCTAATCAACTGAGGCACCGTAGACGCATGACACGGGTGACCTTCGCGCGAGTGCCAGGGTGTCGCAGTGCCCGTTGCGCGCGGTGCGCCCGCCCGTGAACCTCAATGGCCGCCGAAACTGCAGGCGCGTTGTACTAGGAACTGGAGCGGCCCATATGAAAGCAGCAGCTGCCGTCCCCCCCACCCCTTGGCGTGCGATAAAAATGCAACGCGTTCCGTGCATCGTCACAGTGGTTGGATCGCACGTTATACAACATATTTTCCAGGGATATAAACGTTGTATGTTTTGTCAGCCATGTGCGAACACAGTTTGCCCAGCATTATTTGGTGAGGGAGGTTCAACTCTTTGCGTTGCCAGTTTTTCGATCAGGCATGTTTGGGAATCCGTGTTCCTCTGCCGCGAACTTGCTGCCACTTGTTGGGCCGGCGTTATCGCCTGCCCAGCTTCGCATCGGATTTGTCGGAGCATTGCAAGGCCGAGTATTGTCGCTTCCGCGTGAACTACCAGCAGGGCAGCCTTCCGATGTGCGGCGCAGTATGCGCCAGAGGCAGCCCGCGTTGCTGAACGGAAATCGAGACCGCCCTGGCAAATTGGAAAGTTGCAAAGTTCTGTGCAGAGGATGGGATCGAAAACGAGGGATCGGCGGGTATCGAGGTTTTGAGGTTTTAATCGCACGCGAGCAGAGAACAGCGAATGCTCTTAATGTGACTGTTGGTGTTTTGGCCGTTCGTTGCCGTTGCCGTTCGCTGCCGTTGCCATTGCTGCTGCTGTTGTTCTTGCTCTGGCCGTTGTAGGGAAGGGTGTCGGGAGAGGGAATGTATATTGGTTCGCATGTTCTACGGTACGGTGCGTGAGTTTCTTCCTCAGATTCGCTGCCTCTCATCTCCCCCTGGTCCTGTCCGTGACTCACGTTGTGATCCGCTACTTTCTTGGGCTCGCTACTGTTCTCTGGTGTAGCTGTCAGCGTGCCGTCGGCGTGTTCGAACAGCGCCGCGCGTTCGACGCCAGGTGGTCGACTACAGCCCCGAGCACGTTGTGCTCAGCTGGTCGGGCGGTTGGCACGCTGGGAATCAGGCGGGCTGCTGCTGCCTGCACCATGCCTGCAGGGGGTGGGCGCGAGGCATGGCGTCGGAGCACGCGAGCAAACCTTGAGATCTGGGCATCGCCATTTTTTCTCGCCAGGCATTGTCGCTCGTCTTTGGACCCTAGGACCCTCAGGGAACGGTCCTGATCGACTAAGGTCGCGGACTCTTCACGATGTAATGCAAACAGTGCTTCCACTCAAGGATTTTAAGTTTGGCTTCTCAGTAATGTGCTTGCGGTTCTGGGATTTCGTCAGGTGCCCGCGCGCTGGCTGATGGTGTTGGGCTTTCGGCCTGTGCCCGCCTGACGTCGCCTTGTCGCGAGGACAAGGAGCAGGAGGAGGAGGTTGAGAACTAAGAGGAGCAGAAGGAGGAGGATGAGGAGGAGGAAGAGGAAGCGAATGGAGGACGATGACGATCACGACATCTGGGACGGGGGGAGGGGAGAAGGAGGGGACGAGGCGGAGGATAAGAAAGAGGAGGATGATGAACAGGGTGGTGATGCTGTTGATGATGATGCTGATGATGAAGACGATGACGACGACGATCACGAAGATGATGCTGATGTTGATGACGAGGAAGATGCTGATGATGATGATGATTGTGATGGTGATGTTGATGACCATGATGATGATGATGATGATGATGATGATGATGCTGATGATGATGATGATGATGATGATGATGATGATGGTAATCATGCTAATGATGATGATGGCGATGGTGATGATGATGATAGTGATGAGGATGATGCTGATGATGAGGATGTTTATTCTTAGTTTTTGATACCGATGATGACGATGAGGAAGCCGCTGAGGATGAGGATGATGATGAGGCTGATGAACAGGAACATGATGACGGCCATGAAGACGACGGGGATAATGATAATGCTGATGATGATGGTGATGATGGCAATGATGGAATTACCAATGCTGATGCTGATGCTGATGCTGATGATGAGGATGCTGGTGGTGATGATGCTGATGGCGACGACGACGGCGGCGGCGACGATGATGATGATGATGATGATGATGATGATGGTGATGATGATGCTGATGATGATGATGATGATGATGAGGATGATGATACGAATTATCAGGATCATGATGCTGATGACGATGATGCTGATGACTGTGATGATAGTGCTGACGATGCTGACAACGATAATGATGTTGCTGATGCTGATGATGATGCTGCTGATGATGACGTCAATGATGATGCTGATCATGATGATGATGCTGCTGATGATGATGCTTATGCTGGGGATGAATCGTGGTGATGATGATGCTGATGATTCTCCAAATAGGCTTGCCCTATAGGAGTCCTACCTCAAACCCTACTAACTGGCCCGTTGCCCCCCACCCCCCCGATTCCTATGCCCCCCCCAATCCCTATGGCTATCCCTACGCCTATGCCCATGTCTCCACCCAACTCCTTTGCCTACGCCTATGCGTATGCCTGCTTGCTTGCTTGTTTGCTTGCTTGTTTGCGCGCTTGCACGCTTGCTTGCTTGCTTGCTTGCTTGCACGCTTGCTTGCTTGCTCAGTTGCGGATTCCAAGCATGCCTGATTCCTCTGACTCCTTGGTTCGAGTCGTCTAATCTATTTTGGGCAACGCTGACTGATATGATGATGACGGCGACGATGATCATGCTGATGATACTGATGATGCTGATTTTGATGCAGATGCTCAGTATGAGGATGATGAAGATGATCCTGATGATGATGAGGACGACCATGATGATGATGGTGGTGATGATGATGATGGTGATGGTGATGGTGATGATGATGATAATGATGACGATGAGGATGATGATGCTGCTGATGATGATGATGCTGTTGATGATCATGCTGATGGTGATGATCATGATGATGCTGATGCTGATGATGACGATGATGCTGATGGGGTGATGATGACCATGCTGATGCTGATGCTGATGATGATGGTGATGCTGGTGATGATGATGGTGATGATGACGATGTTGATGACGATGACGATGATGATGATCATGATGATGGTGCCGATGATGATGATGGTGATGATGCGGGGAAAAGGAGTAGCAGGAGGAAGAGGAGGAGGAGGAGGAGGAGGGATAGGAGGAACATCATGATGATAATGATGATGATACTGCTGCTGCTTACGATGATGATGGTTATGATGATGATGCTGATGCTGATGATGATGATGGTGGTGGTGGTGGTGATGATGAAGACGATGACGATGACGATGATGATGATGCTGATGGTGGTGGTGGTGATAATGATAATGATGATTCTGATGATGGTGATGCTGATGATGAGGATGATGACGATATTGATGTTGATGTTGATGATGATGATGATCATGATGATGATGATGATGCCGACGATGATGATGCTGCTGATAATCATGGTGTTGATGATGATGATGATGATGCTGAAGATGAGGATGAGGATGAGGATGATAATGATGATGATGATGATGATGATGATGATGATGCTGATGATTATGATGATGATGATGATGATGATGATGATGATGATGATGATGATGATGATGAGGATGAGGAGGATGAGGAGGAGGAGGAGGAGGAGGAGGATGAGGAGGAGGAGGAGGAGGAGTAGGAGGAACGGGCGGAGGACGAGGAAGAGGAGGGGTTATGACACGGGGAAGAGGAGGGAGGAAATGGAGGATGCCTCCCCACTCTTCTTCGTGTCCACTGGTCTTCAGGCGTCTGGAGGCATCCAGATATTTTCTGAGCCCCCCAGATGCCCAGAAAGAGCCCCCAGACAAAAAGGTCCGAAAGCCTGGATCCTTTCCCCTCCTCCCTTCTCCTTCCCCTCCCTCCTCTCCCCGGGCAGTTCCCGCTCTCCTGCGCAACCCACCAGGCAATCCGCCGCGCCATCCACCGCGCTCTTCGCGTCCCACCGCGCAACCCGCCGCGCACCGTGCAACCCACCGCGCAACCTCGGCGAGAACTGCCAGAACCCCCCTCTGTTCGCCCTTTCTTCGGAAGGCAGCTGGCGCTGCCCAAGGCGCGCCCAGGCGACATGCGCTGGATTTGGGATGTGTCGCCGGAGGAGGAGGAGGAGGAGGAGGAGGAGGAGGAGGAGGAGGAGGAGGAGGAGGAGAACGACGAGGAGAAACGCTAGTGTGGTGATGGTGATGATGACGATGATGCTGATGCTGATGATGATGCTGATGATGCTGATGATGGTGATGATGCTGATGATGGTGATGGTTGTCTTATCAGGCAGCGTTGACTCCAAATCGATTGGACGACTCAAATCAAGGAATCAAGCATGCGTTGAATCTGCAACTCAGCAAGCAAGAAAGCGTGCAAGCAAGCGCGCAAGCGCGCAAGCAAGCAAGCGTGCAAGCGCGCAAGCGCGCAAGCACGCAAGCAAGCAAGCGTGCAAGCGCGCAAGCAAGCAAGCACTCATAGGCATAGGCGTAGGCATAGGAGTTGGGGGGGAGGCATAAGAATAGGGATAGGCATAGCCATAGGAATTAGGGGGGGGTGCAAAGAAATTTGGGGTGGGGGGGGTGGGGGTAGGGTTTGAGCTAAGACTCCTATATGCCACGACTATTTGGATAATCATGCTGATGATAATGCTTCTGATGATGATGATGATGAGATGATGACGGATTGATCGTTTCATTTATTGATTCTCGGTTGATTGATTGATTGATTGGTGGATTGAGGATGATGAGGATGTTGACGATGGTGATGATGTCGAAGACGACTTCGATGATGATTACGGTGACGACTGTGTCGATGACGATGGTGATGAAGATCGTGATGATGCTCACTATTATGATGATGACGATTACGATGACGATGACGATGACGATGACGATGATGATGATGATGATGATGGTGGTGGTCGTGATGATGATGATGATGATGATGATGATGATGATGATGATGATGATGATGGTGATGGTGATGGTGATGGTGATGGTGATGGTGATGGTGATGATGGTGATGATGATGGTGGTGGTGATGATGATGATCATGATTCGGATTCAGACGACGAGGAGGAGGAGGAGGACGTGGATGATGATGTCGAGGAGGAGGAGGAAAGCGAGGAGGAGGAGGAGGCGACAGAGAGGGAGGAAGCAAGCTATGTGCGCTTGCGCCACATCTCACATCTTATTCCTCCCTTGCATCCCTTCCCATTGCGCAGATTTGTCTTTACCCGCGTACGAATGTCACAGCAGACCTTGAACTCCAAGCAAGACCCCATCGTGTCATGTCCACTCGGAAAAAGGAAGCTGCGCAGAAAGGCGGAGGTGGCGGGTGAGCAGGAGGAAAGGGAGGAGGATGAGGACAGATGAGGACCAGGTCGAACAGCAGCAGCAGCAGGAACTGGACTACGACGAGCGGGAGGAGCAGGAGGACCAAGGGGAAGGTGGAGGAGGGGAAGCGAGGAGGGCGACAACGACGAAAAGCGAGAGCGCCATTCTGAATTGCGGGAGGCAAGCGCCGATCCGAAAATGCGGCCACGCAGCAGCGGGGTACCATTTCGAAACACCGGAGACAATCGTATGGGTCAAAACGATAATAAGTTTCTTGTTTGAAATCCAGTGTGTGAGCAAAACGAAACGCCGAGGGGGCGGGACATCTTCTGAGCACAGTCAGATGAGAGAGCAGAGTCGTATTCATAATGTGTAATTGTAGAAAGAAGAGGCGGATACGGAGGAGGAGGAAGTGGCGGAAGCTGCGCAGGAGAAGGGGGGGAGGAGGCGGAGGTAGAGGCTGGGAGCGGGCTTGCTTCTTGCCTTGTAGCAAGGACGATGGAGACCTTTACTTCGACGTGAAGGTGCAGGCCAACTCCCTGGACAGCAAAGCGCGGACTTACCGCTTCGCGAAAACCCCCGAGGAACGGTATGTGCGAGGCAGGAAGCCGGTCCGCCAACCCCTCTGCCTCCAAACGCTCCTCCTGCGTTTTCCTCCTCCATGCGCCTTCCTCCTGCCTCCTCCGGCCTCCTCCTGCCGCCTCCCTCTTCCCTCTTCCTGCCTTCACCTTCTGGCCTCCCCCTCATTCCTCCTCCCTCCGTCCTCCGTTAAGGGGACAAAAGGTAGAACCCCTTCAGGTTCGACCCCGTGTTCGCCCCCACCCCCTCCCTCCAGATTTAAAGTTGGGTCGGGCCTCGCGAAGGCCCTTGGGATTCCTCTTTTTTTGTCCTCTCACGGCTGTGCTGCCGAATGCCTGGGACCAACTTTGAATCTCGGGGGAGGGGGCGGAGTCAAGGGTTCCACTTTTTTGTCGACCTACGGTCCTTCTCTGCTCGCTCCCTTCTCCTGCCTGCTCCTTCCGCGAGGGCCTCCAGGTGCAGAGGCGAGTTCTTCGAGAGGGCCACTTGGGGGTCCCTCGAGGACGCCCGCTCCCTGCGCATCTGGCCCGCGCAGCCCAGCCCCCAGCCTCCCCTGAGATCCGACGTCGCGGAAAAACATATCATTTCAAAATCACGACCGGAGCCCCACACCCCATCTTCCTGCGCCGTTTTTCGAGCTGGATCGATCTGCGAGGGTCCCTGGGCCCGAGACACAGCGAAAATGCCCGGCTCGAAACAAAATTCCGAAGGATTGCAAGAAAAATCGCCAGAGTCTCTTCGCCAAAATCGCGGGTTTTTTTGCAATCCTTCGCCAGAATCTCCAGGACGCCAAGTCCCCTTGCAATCTCGGCCCGCGCGGCCCAGCCTCCAGGCGGCGGCGGCCGCGCGGAGGCCGCCCTCCGCGCGGCAGGCACGGAGGGCCCCGGCCGCCCCCGCCCGCACGCTGGCCTGGCCTCCCGGGGAAGGCCGTCGGACGCCGTGCTCGGCCTGTCCCCAGAGCGCGGCCCTCGGGAGACGCCCGCGTGTGTGCGTGCGTGCGTGCGTGCGTGCGTGCGTGCGCGCGTGCGCGCGCGCGCGCGCGTGTGTGTGTGTGTGTGTGTGTGTGTGTGTGTGTGTGTGTGTGTGTGTGTGGGCCCGATCGCTGGAGCAGTAGGCCGGCTGGTCCAGCTCTGCCACGAGAGGCGCTTCCGCCACGCCAGGAGGATCCTTCACGACCTCCGCGACCAGTTCCCCCCTGCCGGGCGACCGCGGGAGCCTGGCTGTGGGCCACGTTCTGCGGGTCCATTCTTCTCCAGCCGTTTGGGCATGCCCTCATGGCCAGATACGCGCAGTCCCTGCTGCAGACGTTCGAGGCCAACTCTTGCGGCGACGCCCTCGGGGGGCTCGGCGACACCACCCGCGCGATGCTCTCCCTACCCCCGGACGTCGTCCTCGACGCTTCGCTCTCCCAGGTCGACCCCGAGGCGCCCAGTTGGATCGGCGACGACCCCACGGCCTTCAAGCTGCTCCCCGGCATCACGCAGGTTTGGCAGCTGTGGGAGATTACTCTGCTAGACGGGGGCGTTCTCGAGTCGCGCAGGTTCAAGGAAGGCATGTCATCTTGGATGCTCTACGTCCCTCTGTCCTCCACCTCAACCCTCGACCATTACATTTTCCATGCCAAGGTCGTCTCCTCCAGCGGGCCCGACGACATCGAAAGGGCACCACCACGGATACTTGTCCACTGGGATCACGATGTCTGTCCTCTCATCGACTCACCACAAGGGCCCCATTACGCCGAACACCCCCATCTGTGTCAACCTTCCGCCCGTCGTGCTGCAGCACCGCAGGGCTGCGTACAAGTTCCACTCGTTTCTGACGACGGCGCCACCTGGGGTTCCGTGGTGTTTCCCATCCCCGTGCTCATCGCCTTCCCCACGCTCCCCCTCACCGACGGGCTGCGCATCAACTCCGTTGCCTTGATCGCTTACCTTGAGACCGCCGCGGCCGCTGACGAGTTGTCTCCTCCTGCCTGGCGTGGCCCTGCCCCGTCGGATTTACCCTTGGCTTTGCCTGCCCGGCTGCCCCTTGGCGCCTCCTAGACGTCGTCGCGCCTTCTCCCCTGGCCGAACCTGGGCTCGGCTCCGCCGGGGCACCTCCGCGGTCTTACTCGCCTGACTGGAAGTATATCCCACGGTCCGTGTTCAGCAAACCACCCCTCTGCCTTCCCATCAGACGAAAGGATCCAGGAGGTCGCCAACTTCTTTACGCTCGACCTGGACCAGGCCGTCGGCCTCAGGCGCTCCATCACGCATCTCTGGACCGCGGTACAATGTCCTCCTGGGACCGGCAAAAGCGAGGGTGCTCGCCGTCCTCGCTGTGCTCTATGCCAGCGTGTTCCCGCAGGGCTGGTCGGCCCTGGTTGCCAGCGGCGCCACTTCAGCCGTTGATCAACAACGCGGTCGATCACCTCCTCGACTTCTGCGACACCGCTCCGCCGAAGCGAAGGGCGGCCCCTCATGCATCCCACGGCACGTTCAGCCGAACACCCTCCCAGAACGGCTCCGGCCGCGCACCTTCGAGGACAGGTGCGAGAGGGCCAAGCCATCGGCACATGGCCGCACCAAACACGTCCAGCGGCAAGCGTAAGCCCAAGCTGATCGACGCCATCCTGGGTGGGGCAGATCGCCCCCTCCATCAAGATCTTCGCGGTCACGCTTGAGAGGGTCGACAGTCTCTTCTACGGCCCCGACCAGACGGAGGGCCCGCATTTCGGTGTTGTCTTCATGGACGAGGCCGCCCTGCATCCCGAGTCCCTTTCCATTGGCCCATCGACCGCCCTCCGTCCGCCTCCGTCGGCATGGTGGGCCACCGACCCGTCACAGCTGGCGCAGCGCTGTAAGTCCAAGGACGCCGAGATAGGCGGCTACAGGATCTCCCCCATGGCCAAATTCATGAACTGCTTCCAGAGACGCGAGGAGGTCGTCACGATCGTACAGGCGCAGCCCAGAGGCTCGCTCCAGCCTCACAGGCCGCGACCGCTCGCTCCTCGGCGACGTGCCCTGGACGGTGCGGGCCGACGTCCCCTCGGACCTGTCGGACTCCGACCCCGACGCCCCACCCGGACTTCGACCCCCCCCCCGCTGAGGGTCAGCACGCCGACCTTGTCTCGCTCATCTACCTTCCCAGAGCCGCCGCGGTGGAGCGCGAGGCTTTGGCCCCTGTGGACCGCTTCGGCAGGGGCGTCTGGCGTGGCCCCCACGCGACCCCTCACGGCCAGTCACATCACCTCCTCGTCGTGCACGTGCAGGGCCGCGACAGCACTACCCCCCATGGCAGCACAGGAAACTGCTACCAAGCCAGCCTCGCCGTGGAGATCGGGAACCTCCTCGGCCCCAGCTGCGTGCGGCGAGGGTGCTCACTCGGCTTAGCTGTCCCCTACAAGGAGACGACTGTGCTCATCCGCAGCGGCTCAGCCTTCCCGCTCCGCCTACGTGGGCAGCGCGGCGGCCCCGAGGCCACTGACGACGCTGCCCTAGATGCCAGGCGCCACGCGCTAGGTTTCCTCCGCACCCACTCCGACACCCGCCCGCGGGACATCACTGGACCTGACGCCCCCCCCCTTCTACCCCGCCCCCGGCTTCGATTACCTCATCGGCCCGACTGAGATGTGACATGGGCGCGAGAAGGACATCCTCATCTGCCTCATGCGGTCTAACACCCACAAGGCGTGGGGGCACGTTGACGAGCGCGAGCGCCTGGCGCCGTAACGTTTTTCTCTCCAGGCCCATGTGCGGGGTCATCATCACTTGCCTCAGGCAGACAGACACCGCCACTGAGTCAGGTCTACAGGATCTGCTCCGCCACGCTCACAAGGCAGGGCTCACCTGTCAGCTCGGCATCGTCGGTGGTAGCCTCACGCGTCATGGTCGAGGGGTGGGAGGCTGGACGCCTCGCGAAGTGGCACCAGCTATTACTCGATAAACGGAGTGACCTCGCCCTGCGTCTGATCAGCGAGCAGCCGAGAGGCAATTCCCATCGCCCCATGTCGGGTGCCGCTCCCCCGACCTCGGCCCCTGCCTCACCGGCGCAGCGTCCCCGTGCGGCCGCGGGTAACCCCGCCGCGTCGGCGCGCTGGGTAGTATGGCAGGACCAGCTCGCCCCAGTCCCCCAGCGCTGCCCCAACGGCATTGGCGCTCCACCTTCGCGGGAGGCCGCTCCTCGACCGCGTGGCGGAGTCTGCGAGCACCTCGCCCGACGAGGCTGTCACGCGCACCCGGCGTGTGTGGTTGAACCGTCGAGCGCCGACTGGCCGCCCGTCAGCCCCCCCCCCGCGGGCCTGCCTGAGCGACGGCGGCGCGCCCCCCACTCCAGGGGGCGCGTGCAAGAGGGCGCGAGCTCTAAACGCACGGTCTGAATAGTGCCTCTGGCCCCGCCGCCGCCCCGCCGCCCAAAACTCGGCGACCGGGCCGGCCGCTTCGTCAGCTTCGGCGGCCGCGCGCCTCGCCCTGGCCAACCGTGTGGCCGCCTTGCTTGACGCCCCCAGTCCCGTCGTCCACTTCCCGGCTGCCCCTTGGCACGAATGGGTCATCAGGCACGCCGCCGGCACTGCGGATGATGCTGGGGATGACTACATCACCTTTGACCCGCACGCCTTCTCCGCCCCTCAGCTCAGCCTCTTCATGCGCTCTCTTCCCACCAGTGTCCTCCGCGACGCCGCCCAGGGTGGGGACAGCCCCTGCCGCTCCGGCTGGGGGCTCTGGCGCCGCATCGCCTCAGAAGAGGTTTCCCTACCGCGAGCTCTCGCGGCCCCACGGTTGCAGCAAGTCGAGGTGCCGAGCGTCTTTCGTGGCATTTTGCCATCTCCACGAACTTTTGCTCTCCTCGTCCTCGACTGTAACTCATTCGCTCCCTGCCTACTGCGCCTTCTGTGCGGTATCCTCCTACGGTTGGTGGTCGGTGTCGTTTCCCCTCCCACCATCCACGCTCGGATGGCATATGGTGCGGCCCTCTGAGGCTGGCGCGAGATAAACGAAACAAATAATACAACAGCATCTGAGGCCGGCGTGAGAAGGGCCACGGCCGCGGCACTTGACTTTCTCCGCCTCGTCGCTGCCCGCGAGGCC